TTCAATAGTTGACAAGCTTTGTTTTAGATTAAAAAATAATAATGAACAAATCCCGGCGACAAAGCGTCGATCCGAGTACCCAGTCGCATTGTTTGCCATAATTTCACATGTTTGACGATTACCATGATGAATGTGTATTTCACTGATTCATGTGCACTCATTTATTTTTTTGTCCATTTACACACATTATATATCAATTATAATTAAAAGTGAAAAACTTAAAATACAAAATGAAAACAAAGAAATAAAACATTTTAAATCAGGTTTCGTAAATTTTTAATAATCTTCCTGCCCCAGACCATGCTCTCATAATAAAACACTTGAATGGTCACGATTTCAACTTTAACCTTTGAATGTATACAGAGCAACCGTGTCATGCCGGCCCACGATGTTCGCTATGACTCAACTGGGCCTAGGCTGTTAAGTTAGCGATGAATAGCAGGGCAGTGCAGTATTTTGTTACAATTAACGTAACCACGGAAACATTTATTGCATTCTTCTTGTCTTTATCAATTTAGCTTGTCTATTGTGTTTAGGTAAACTAAAACTTATTATTTTTTAATCTAAAACAAAGCATGTCAACTATTGAATTTAATTAGGCCTACAGTAAGTCTCATCTTCATCTGTTTTGTTGCATTCCTCAAATTCTGGCCTAGGCCTACCTGGGCCTGGCCTAGGCATACCTGGGTGGGCCTAGCCAAAAAAAATCGCGTCAGCTAGCATTGGGCCTACGCTTGCTCGACTTACTTAGGCCTTTTGGTTTTTAAGAGCTTTCACGAATACGGCGACCCCCCCACCACCGGGAAAACGAAAACGCGGAATGATCACCGACCGGCACTTCAAAAAGCTGGTGACATCCCTGGCTATGTAGATTATGATGCTAATGATTCTCATATTTTTTACAATTTTATCAGCGTAACAAAATAATATGCATAAATTTGGTTGTACCTATTTCAGGTCTTGTGATTCGGTTAGGCAGTTCAAGCCTCTCATAAAAATACTTATTCAGATAGTTTTTTTTTTTTCACCTTGCTTCAAATCGCTTCCAATCTATTTATATCTAATTTATTGTTCTGTTTGTTGTTTTATAACTCTTCTAGTATAGATCCTTGATAATGGTTATTTACCATACAGTAAATTCTATTGTAGTTATTAATTACCGTTAATTGAAGAAAATGTTGATGAATGAATGATATTTGTTTCAGAGTTTCTGCTTCATTGCATTATTTAAGATTGCTCATTTTGTTTGTGTTTGGCTTGTATGCAAGCTCTACTCGGGGGAGGAGGGATTTTCCGAAATATTGTAGAAAGTAGCAAACAAAGCTTCGTAACTGCAAAGAAAAGTGCTATACAAGTAACATGTACCAACCATGTCATCTAGATCATCATCCTTGCTGTAACGTGCATAATCTTTGCGTAACGTTCTCATTAAAATCATGGAAACAAGACCAACCAGAAAGATAACCATCATAAACGAGTTGAAAATTGAGAACCAATGGATCTAAAGTATTAAAAATCAATAGAAATAGACATTGAACATCTATAATACATAGTACTGTATGTACAGTTATAGTATGCACAAAAAAGATATAGCAAATATTTCAATAGCAATATTTATAGACAACCAATGAATGTTTAATTTTATATTAATAAAGATGTGTAAAAATTGTATGTGTTTTTAAGCAAAATGATTTTTTGTTCTAGAGTGGATTTTTGATATGCCATTAATAATAGAATCAACCTTAAAATCGCTTTTTGGCTATTTTTTATGAAGTTATAGGCGATTATATACGATTTTACCATGACGTCACTGGCGAAAAAGTAACAAAAGATCGTTTAAATAGAGCCGCGTAGGGTATCCACCGCGTACAATCTTTGTGTGCATGCTGTAACAATCACAATTTACAGCATACACGCAAAGATCGTACGCGGTGGATACCCTACATGGCGCTATTTACATGAACTCTTGTTACTTTTTCGCCAGTGACGTCATGGTAAAATCGTATATAATCGCCTATAACTTCATCAAAAAAGCCAAAAAAACGATTTTAAGGTTGATTCTATTATTAATGGCATATCAAAAATCCTCTCTAGAACAAAAAATCATTTTGCTAGTTCTCTTTTAAGTTGAAAATATATTTTAAATATTACTTTTATAGTAGGCATTCATTCAATATTCTCTTCTTAAAAAACACATTATTTATTTCCTTTGTCTTTAAACTAAAAATATATTCTACTCACCCGGTGCTGAAAGAAGTTGGGGTCAAGATATTTATCAAAGCGTTTGTTATAGAGTACATTAGATTTCTTCCACTGCACTTGATATGTAAATGGGATCTCTACATTAGCTTCGAGTTTCACCTTGACTTCACTGGTAAGGTTCACATCTACAATCTGATCATTATTGTAACCAATGTCAAATTTCTTGTGCGTCCATATGTAGAAATCCTGACCGCCTTCATCAATCTCTCCCACAATGCCTTAAAAAAAAAAAATGTAAATAGAGTACTAAAATAATACTTTGGCACTTAAAATCAGAATGTATATATGACTGTAACCTCACAAAGTAGTTGAACAGTAAGGCAGGGCGTTGTACTAAGGGTTCCAGTGGTGGACAGACATTCTTGATTGACTGAATTTGAAGACTGTAAAATGTTGGTGCAATGTTCAAAATTAGAATGTGTGACCTTACAATCTACCCAGAATATCTTTTGAGAAATGCAGGGAAGAAAAAGGATTCAGGAACAAGCCGAAAAGTAGACGCTTTAATATAAGTTTTCTTTTATAATATTGCATAGACAATGTTACTACAGTAATTTAATGTTAACCTCAAATGTTAATAAAAGTCAATGGTTAGAAGAAGTAGCATGAAATGCAACGCTTAACATTGCGCCAGAATTGGGAACGACTTTCAGTGAAATAATAGCTTTCAACCCTTTCACTGCTGCAGGTAAATACACCCCCTGTGCTTGGTCTTTTTAGGAAGAAGGCTATTTTTTAATAAAATGAAAAAAAAAAAAAAAATAAATAAAAATACTGAAAGAGGTTATTTTAAAATTGTTTTTGTGTGTTGTTGGGGTGGGAAAGAAGTTGGCCTATGGTAAAAAAAAAATAAATTGGAATTTTTAATTAGGTGGTTATGTGACCATGGGGGAGCCATATTGGAAACCCCCTTTTTCATAAATCTGCAAAAAAGAGAGGAATTTTTACGAGATGCTATTTTTTTTTTCACTGGATAATGATGAAGATACATAAAATGAATTAAAAAAAATCAATAGTTTGAATTATTTTCATCATTCAATTCAAAAACAGACAAAATCCATGCGTGTCGGCAGAATCGTAAAAAAAAAAATAAATAAAAAAAAAAACCACTGTAAGATGAGTTTTTCGTAACAATTAGTCATTACTCCATACCATTCAGTAGAAATCACCTGTTAGAAACAATAGGGGGCGCTTGCAGTACAGGAACAAATTTAAATATACCCGGTACTACCAGGTATGCGCAAATCAACAACATTTTTTTCTGTATGTGCAGTAAAATGGTTATAAAGTGGACCTTTTGAAATTTGGAGCCCTCTACATTAACCTGCCAGTAGTACAGTATACATTTTCATCCAGAGGTGACGGAACTAGGGGGTGCTGTGTTATGGAGAGTATTTGTGTGACCGGAAATGGTCTGCAGTCAGTTAGTTGTTACCATGCGCCAGTGATGTTGGAGTATATAGTACAGCAATATGAAACTATTAGGCCTAATGAGTGAATAAAGTTCAGAGTTTGTCGGGTAGTGAAATGATTATTTCACATTTTAAGTGCTCCCTAAATTCATAATGTGTAAGCTAAATTACAGTGATTAATTCAATTAGCGAAGATATGGAGACAAATTTCGAATCCCTCTTTCCAAGAGGGGATGCAAATGCTTTGTGAAAATGAGTACGCCGCGGTACTCATTTTCACAAAGAAATACACACAACTGGTTAGCTAACAAATATGTCAATGTTACATGAACACCTGGGAAGGAAGGTGCAATCACGTTGTTACCTAGCAAACGTCTGTACTGTATGGGGGAGGGGTTGCTGATGTACGATGAGGCATAATACTAGGCCTACGCCTATTAACTAAGACAGTGGAATTATATGTGATAGAGAGTACACTTTCGGAAGAAATAAATTAAAATAAGAAAAAAAAAATAACTAAGAATAATTCATTTGCAGAGGTACCTTGTTTAAGTATTATACAATGCTAACAATGTGGCTCTAGCCCTGGCTTGGGCAAGGAATCCATGTGCAAGGCATCCATGTGCAAAGCAGTGATGTTTGTTTATCCATGAAAATAGCACGCCCCCGGGAAAGTTTGCCTTACCAGGAAAAGGTGACGTATCTAGCTTATGACGTATGATGCTAACTAATGTGAGTGTGACGTCACCAAAAAATGAATATTTTCTATTATAACCAAAATATTAATAACTACAAAGTTTATGGGCGTAAATTCCCTTAATACGAATGAAGGGTTGCACAATATCCTTGCCATACAAATTACAGCTCCCACTGACGTCTCAGTCGAGAAATACGGGTAGCTGAAGTTTTTTCTCGCAAATCTGACTACAAAACCATATCCAAATTTCACGTTCCACTTTTGACCCTGAGTTGTGCTTCGCACTCGCCGCTGAGGGCGGCGTTCCGGGAACCGTGCGTCTAGTAATAAACACAAATTTAAAAACATAATCCTACTTACCCCATATTGGTAGGTCATCAATGTACATTTGATACCAATAGTGATTCTTAACTGCATAGATGAACGCCTTTAATTTATCTTCAGTGATTTTAACCTCGCAGTACTTGGTTTGAGGAAAATCAACTGATAAATATAAACAAAAAAATATATATTTTAATTTTATTAAAAACCTATTAAGATTTTGGGATGGTAAAAAGTGTTCTTTACAGTTATATTCATTAAAAAATAGTGTTAAAAAAAAAACAAGCTAGTAATTCTGAAGGTCATGGATTTGGTTTTAGCACATGTTACTACTCAATTTTCTTTGAACACAAGAATTTAGAGATGTGCCAAGAATTTTGAGCAATAGCACATCAGGTTGGATAAACTGGGGGAACAAAAACAAAATCACTCCTAATTGTTATTTTTCCATAGTACAATTCCTTTGCAACTGATCATCAGCAATGCTGAGAATGATTGACATTTATCATCAGCCTGTGCAAAAAAAAAAAAAAAAAATAACCCACACAATAAGGGTGCGATAATGGGTCGTGAAAGGGATACTGTAAAACAATACTCTGAAAACAAAACATTAGCGGTGTGAACGCACCTTTATAATCAATATCAAGGCCACTGAACTCAAGCTCCACTCCTTGCAAGTTTTCACCAAGTGTTTCATGGTAATGACTGATGGTATCCTTAGGCCCTCTACAGAATGGTAGTGAAAAGTAACCATAGGTCTCCTGCCTGTTGTGGTATGGACCAACTGTATTCATCCACAATACAACCTCCTCACTGTCCTTGTACTGTGAGAGAATGGATAAAATGTTTAAAATTAATGGATGTTCCTTTCAGTCGTGTTTGCGTTTGTAAACGGAGTTTTATTTCTAAGTTACTTTCTTCTTACAATCGTATTATTGCTGTAAATAGTAACATCGATATCTTTTAAACATTTCCGATCTCTCATTTTAAAATGTATCTACAGCAGGTTTTTTACTATTTAGCTGCCCATGTAACTGTGTTTTGTTTCTTGATTCTTTGTTGTTGGTGGGGTTGGTGTTAGTTATGAATATATTTCTGTATTTTTAGAGTTTATACTATATATTTTATGTAAATAATAGATAATTCCATAAAGTATGCAGCGGCCTAACACCTGTGATAAAACAGCAGGCCTATATTTAATATTTTAAATGGTACCTTGTAAATAATAACAATTGACTGATTGACAAACATTACTGGTGATGCTTCAATGGGGCTTCCAGTACATCAACAATCTAATGATTAGCGTGCATGTACTGTAACCTACAGTATGCACGCTAATGACAATTATGCATACGTGACAATTCAAGCATAGGCCTACAGTACACGTATGTTTACAGTACGTTGCACACAAATACTCAAATTAAAAATGTATGTGCAAATTAAAATTATAAGTTCATAAGGACCTATTGTTCAATAATATTTGTGGACATCAAGGGTTTAGCCAGCGAGCCGTCCAGCCATTTTTAGGATGGCCAACAACTATTTAGGACGTCCACTTCTACCGTCACAGCTTGGCCTACTCAGCTTTGGCCTAGCCTACAGTAGTTGGTCCTGGTCTACCTTCAGCAATTTTTTTTATATTCTTCAAATTTATCGAATGTTGCATTAAACTACAGTAAAGCTATTAATTGAATTTATGTTGTTTTAATACCAACATTCGGTGGGAATTCTGAAAAGGTATGGCTAAACCATTGTCACATACTTATACCCCGATGGAAAATGGACAGTTCTAAGTTGCCCACAATGCATGCACGTGGCTCTGCAAATACAGTAACGTACAGTACAGTACTTGGGATTCAGTTCCCTAAAGATATAAGCAGATTTGTTAATATCAAGTTAAATTTTAAGTCAACAAAATACATTAGTCTATAGTAGGCCTATACATCTCTTTGAGAGGACCAAGAGTAGAATTTACACTAGACCAGGGCGAGAGATGAAGATGCAGCTGTATAGCCTAGAAAAACAATGTGAGTAAACAGTCGTAGCTGTGCGCAGTCTACAGTACATCTATACAGTATTACTGAAATATCTTTCTGATAGCTAATTCAACACTATTCCTTTGAAGACAAAATTCCAACAAATATCTAAACACCTTTAAATGCACTCATAATTTTCAATTTTTTCTTATGTACAGTACGGAGGGGATACCCCTCCCAAACCAGTCCCTGCTTGAGGCCACGCCCATTGGCTGTCGCTACACGACAAGTTCATTGTTTTCCATTTCCTTTTTCTGGCTAAAACCCTGGTGGACACTGTCTAATAACTAAATTTAGTTTTTTTAGCTTTAACAATTATAACTGAATTATCTAAAATAGGAAGATTACACACCTCCTGCCACTTTTTACGCTGTCTTTACAAATAAAAAAGCTTACTATATATCAGTTATAGTACAAGTGAAAATAACGTTTGTTAACCTTAGGAAAGGCTTTTGTCTTTTACCTGGCCTAGGCTTACCGTGTTGAAATGACAAACATGATGTTTGAAATTCTAACAGTCTTTTTTTTTTATTACTTGTAAGTCAATAAACTGGCCTTTATCAATATCATTATTATTTATCAGTATTTGGATATTTAAGTCTTTTAATGGATCAAATTTACTGACAACATACCGGTACAACACAAAATTTATTTAATATATTGGAGCTGAAATTGTAAGCAACCAAAACGATATTACAACCTTCTTTGTAGGTATTCAGACTAGGCCTAGTAGGCCTACAAGACTGTAAAGTATGGCCTGCGTTAGTTTACAGTATGGTTGTAGGTACAGTACATTACAAATTGTGATGTCACACTTCCTTGTTATGGTCACTTGTTCAAATATTTTTTTTTGTGAAACTAGGTTTAAAAGGACTGTTACAGGGCTCTCTTCACTTTAGTATCATAGTGTGTCAACACACAACATGTTGTACGCTACTGCATTAAAAGAGGTTACAATTTGAGCATGACTCTTTTTTTTATATGACAATGCTTCTACTTTAAGGCAAGAAAAATGTATATGAATTTAATAATGTCTGCAGGAGCTTTGAGACAAACAATTAAATTCATATGGCTTAAGAAATAATAATTTGACCAAATATGAAGAAATTTTATGGACTACCAAATGGTTTTTAAAAGGTGGGAAATTATTACGCCTTTTTCACGAATCGGTAGACATCTTGAAGTGATGACAAACAACCCAAGTCAGTAGTGACAGAAATAAGATAAGCTTTGAGGCTAAATTCTTGTCATGTTATCTAAAAATTCATAACTCCATAACGTAGGGTCGTATCACATTTATTTTTTCTGGGAAATGTTCTCAAAAGAAAAATTCTATCTACACCAATGATTGAAAAAAAAATTTAAATATGTTTTTGACCCCTGAGATTGAAAAAAAAAAAGCCTATCTAAATAGTGTATTAAAATAGGCCTATGAATTAAGGCCTGTTTTACTTCAACGATAACGATAAAAAAGCTAAAAAGCGATTGTTCATATAGAAAACAGAAGAAATACTGTAAGATAAGTTTTTACACTAGGTCGATTCGCTAACGATTTATCGTGTATACGATAAAGTCAGGCTCCAGAGGGAAAAAAATTTTTGATATGTTGTAGAACTGATTTTTCTAAGACAGAAAAAAGTTGTTTGACGAAAAACTGGGGAACGGTGAATGAGATACAGATTTTTTAATTTTTTATTTATTGAATGCTAATAATTCACATACTCAGGCCTAGGCCTAACTGCCTAATTCTGTGATTGTAATATAATAATACAAATATATACTCTAACAAAGTTACAAGATGTGTATAAGAGACAGGTTCTACAACATATCAAACAATTTTTTTCCACCGGAGCCTGACTTTAACAAAATATTTTAAAAAATCAAATCAGATGACATCATAATCATGGAAAAACAATAAAATCGTTGCTACTACTACGATTTCAATGTTTTTCCATGATTATGACGTCATCTGATTTGATTTGTCAAAATATGTTGTTATCGAATAACTGATAAATCGTTATCGAATTGTTTTAGTGTACAAACTTCTCTTATTTATTTTATTTTCTATATGAGCAATTCAAATGTTGGAGAATTAACTTGCATTACGATCATTTACATCTAAATATGACTTTTTTTAACGTACCTGGACTACTAACTTGGACTGTAGTGTAGGCCTAGGTAGGCGTACACAGCCAATGGGGTAGGGTATACAGTGTCCTCTGCGCAAATATTTGGCTTAGTAGAAGAGATATTCCAAATCCATCTGCTCATTTTGGAAAATAAGGGCCGATTTACGTGCAGATTTTGCCCAAAATTAGGTTTTGATAAACAATGTTAGTATTTAGGCCTATCTATGTATGCAGTAGGCCTAAGCCTAAGTAATTTAGATTCTGCACACCTATTTTTTGTTTTGTTTTGTTTGAGCTGGTTTTTGAGGCCTAGGCCTACGACGGTACAGTAAGCTAGCCGAACCAGGGCCCCAAGCACAGTTGTTTTTTTTTTTAACCTTCTGCGCCTAGCTAGGCCTAGCCTAGCCGGTAGCCTGGATAGTTTCATTCTTAAAGAAAGTAATGTTAGTAAATAATATCGTAAAGTCTATTTTAATATTCACTATTTATCCTATTGAAACATAATGCAGTTATTTTTTTTAAATATGGCCTAGAAAGTGTGTAATTAAAAAGCATTTTAGGCCAGTGGTAGTAAGCCTACCCAGGCCTAGGCCTAATCCCTAACTGAGTCATTGCAAGACCTTCATCCGGTCGTACAATTCGTAATTTTATACCCGACATACACTTACTTTATGGTCATGTTCGTCCGCTAATGTTGTCAAAATAAACGTTAAAAGAAGGAAAAGGGTTGTTAAAACATTATGCCACATATCTAACCAATTTTAAGGTAAGACCTTCAGATAGAAAATGCGATGTTATAAGATTTTACAATATCTTCCTACGTGGAATTGTAAGCATTCAATGGCGTCGCCACGTCAATCCCTCGTCCAAAAATGAAAAGCTTTTAAGGATGATAACATGGGGGCGCTCGATCAAAACAGAATGTTTGATTGATTTTTTTGCATTAAATGAAAATAGACGGAAGGCCAAATTCAATTTTTTGATTATTTACTTTGTATACTCATTATTAGATTTCAATTAAAATTTAACAATGAAAACAATTGTCCTTGTCAAATAATGGACGTATAAGTAATACTTTTCTTTTGATTTTAAGTCTTAGATATCCAACCTGTTGTTGATGCCATAAAATGGAAATTGGATCTATGTTAACTACCAAATTGATGAAATCTTTTTATTCAAACTTTCACTGACAAATGTAAAAAAATCATATACTGTACTCTATGTAATACATATTCTAAATTTAAAGATATACCATCAGCCATGAGCTGAAAGAATTTAAAATGTTAATTCATTTATTGCTGTACTGAGTATTTTAGTCTGAAATAGTGTTTTAATTGGAAGTCCAAAATATCCAACCTGTTGTTGATGCCATAAAATGGTAATAGCATCTTATGTTAAAGCCCCATTCCCGGCAAAATTTCACTAAAAATGACTTTTTTTAAAGAAAATATGCATTTGCATTACTCCAATTATTATAAATCATGGAAAAATATTGGCATGAATTTTAGTTTTACGCAAAAGAATAAAAAAATGAGAAATACAGACTATTTCTCATAAAATATTACCATTTTCTCAAATTCAGAGGTTGTAGATCGCATCCACTGGAATACTCTCGCTTTTATGTATACTTTATACAGTCAATAAAGTGCGCCCTCTCTAATGAGATTAGTTTTTGTACTTCGTATCTCGCACAATGCGGTCGTTCGATTAAAGCTGAGATATACCGTATTTGTTTAAGTGTCAAAATCTCAGTCAGAATCAGTTTTTTAACAAATTTGAAATAATTCCTATGAAATATTATATTTCACAAGTGACAATACTAGCAATGGAAAGTATCATGTCGGCCGTTTTAATGTGTGATAACAGAACCTAAATAGAGGTAAGGCTAGGCCTAGCCTAGCAGCGCTGGATAGGCTGTTTTCGGCACCTACGATATTTCGTCTCACGACCTATCGCAAAATCAAAATGAAAAATTCATCCGCATTTATTTTTTGTGTGTGTCACCGTCGGAACTGGTCCAACGGATATAATGAAATTGAATAGCGTTAAAAAGTGTGAGACGAGCGATTAAGACTGAATTAAAACTAAATACTGATTCAAGCGCTGGACAGACTGAGAAGAAGACTGGATAAATGTAACAAATTATTAGACTTTAATTAAGATGATCTATTCCAAAGGTTTCAAGGTCACAAACTCTATTATGCTTATCAGAATAATTATATAAATATGAATGTACCCGTTATATAAATTATGATTTAAAAGACAATGCCGATTAAAAGAACTTATTTAAACCAAATTAAATAATTACAGAAAGCATATAAACGAAACTCGAATCTATGTTAAATTAATTCACGATAGTTTAAAGCAATTATTACGATCAAGTAAAATCAGTTTAAGATAAAAATTAGAAAGATTCAAGTTAAAAGATGAATGTTATGTTAACAGCACAGTCTTTCCACAATAGTGAGATTAAAATAGCGGCTCTAACCCCATAGTTACGGTACTGTAAACAAAAGTAACAGTAAGATGGTAAAGTCATTAACTCCAAGGATAAATATTTAGCTATTCGACTGTGCTCAAAGTAACGCTAACATGGAATTATACATGATTAACAAAGTATAACTAAATATAATAATAATCCTACAACTAACTGAATATAATATCGCATTACATGAACTATATAAAAGTATAATTAAATAATACACAACGATTAAAGTAAATAACTAGTATAAAACTGTGTTACTGTGATCATGGAGCTATAAAGACGATTATATAACAATCGTCGCTTGTGACCGTCCCTCGCTGATACTTAAAGGAGGCAGACCACAGGTATGTGGCCTCAATTCATGCTGGACCTATCCTTATTTACTGTACACTGTTCTTAATATACACAGCATACATCATTTCATAGCAATGCTATCCCATTATAACAAACTATCCTAAAATACTACATTAATTTCGTATTATAAGTAACGAATTATAATGATTCGTTATACTCAACGTATTCATTTAAAAGTTCGATACTTCGATAAAATTAATTTATCGGAAATGATAACAATCGTTTAAAGTCAATTAAAAGTATTTGAAGATCAAACTATAATAACAAATATAATGTACATACGTTTTATGAATATAAATGTAACAGTGGGTGAGTGACATCGGAGGATTATAGCACATCGATGTTTACGGATGGACGGCTTGACTATCACTGCCTTTGTCCCTAATCTTAATGTAATTTGATGTGGTCACTCTGAGGGCGCAATGCTGTCTTAAATATACCCTCACATGTGGAACACAAAAAAAAATCAAATTTCAGTCTTATTTTACATTTTTTTCATTCTTAGGAATGTCTAAATTCAGTTAAACTAGTAATTCCGTATTATATTTATAAATCTTTATAACATTATACAAAAATTAGATTTTTCTTAAAAACTGAAATTTTGCCGGGAATGGGGCTTTAACTACCAAATCGATAAAATCGTTTTATTCAAACTTTCACCGACAAATGTAAAAAAAAATCATATTCTGTACTCTATGTAATACATATTCTAAATTTAAAGATATACGGTACCATCTGCCATGGGCTAAAAGAATTGAAAATGTTAATTCATTATTTGAATTGCTGTACAGTATTTTAGTCTGAAATAGTGTCAAAAAATCATAAAAATAATTTTGAATTTCAAACTTGCTCATTTTGCACTATTAACCTGAGCATTGCAATTACTGAATTAAAAAAAAGTATATTGGATTGTATACTGGATAATGATAATGACAATGTTAAAACACTTCCAGCTAGTGACAAAGTGTTTCATTTATCTAAAATATGGGTAAGCATCTTTTTTAGATAAACTAATTTCTATGTTCAAGTTATAATTTTTTATGTTGCATCAAAACGATTAGGGTAATTTCAAAAATTAATTTTGATTTTTCGTTTTTGGTATTTTGCAGAAGACAATACATCGTTAAGCAGGGCCTAAAGGTCAACTCAGACAGCGTCGGCCGACGCGCAGCCCGACCCGATTTATCATCGGGGACAGTCTTAAGCCGTCGTGAGACTACGACGCGACTGCCCTCAACCAGATACTAGAAATACAAGATAGAATTCTCCACACAAAAAAAGTGTTCCACCGCGTTCCACCGAAATGCATGGTGGGAATACGAAAAATGGGACGCCCCCTACTGCTGGATCTAAAAAAAACTTGTGCCAAACTTTCGTTACCAAGTCGTCGCGTATTTTATTATCAATTCTCAACAAAGA